GGTTCTAGATATAAAGTTATATAACATTTTATATGATTTTCTAAAACGGTTCAATGATCCAGACAATCTGCTTGTCAGATTTAAAAGAGAAATCGATGTTCCTTGAAATATATTTAAACTTGCGCGCATTGAAATTGTTTTTAGCTATTTATGACAAAAATAGAATGGCATATTTAATAAGAATTTTGAAAATAATTTAGATTTAGTCTTTGAAATATTTTTCAATAAAATCATCGTTGATAGAAGAATAAATTTATTATGAACAAATATTATTTCATATTGGTATTTAATCTTTAAAGATGATGGGATCTTTTTTTTTTTAAATCTTGCGCCTTTTCCTTAAGTAAGATTTATTATAATTCATTATACTCACACTGTTTGCTTTAAAGTATGACATTGTATCAGTACCACTGTAATGGTTTTCCGTCTGGCAATATTTAAAAACAATCTCCTAAAAATTTGTTATAAAGGGTTTATAGATTCACTGCAATTTGATATTCATAATTAGAAATTCAAAATAGCAGATCTATCATTGCGGTTTGACTATCAAAAAAATACATTTTTGTGAAACACAAAGAACTTTTTTGACATTGAAAAACAAATAATAATTGAAAACTATATATAATAAAATTTTGAGAATGTATGGAAACGATAAATCAAATAAAGCGTGTATTGTATACAGAACAATATACAAATGATGAAGCATGAATAAGGCTTATTAGTACATAAAGATGAGATACAAGCTTTTATTTGCAAGCTTTTATGTAGCGTAACATGATAACTTACCAGTTAACCTACCAGTTAATTTTAGTATTAAGAGTCTAGCAGAACGAGTATTAACGATAAGCATAGAAATTACAACATGAAAACTAGAATAGCATTTTATAATGGCGCTCCCGTCTTGTAAAGATTAATTGAATTTTAGAACTGCTATTAATCAATAATTGAATATTGTACAGAGATGTGAACATTACATTCAAGCAACATAGATTAGATTACCAATAATTTTTTATTAATATTTTATGTAAAAAAATAAAACTAATGAATGAAAGTATCAAATTAAAAAAACAAACTGTTCTTTCACAATTATGTTTCTCAGAATTACGGCTTTATCTGAGAAGTTGATGAGTTTCACGAGTTTTCTATTCGAGCAAATTAAATTGAACAACAATTAAATGATTCGTTGAGATTTATTCTTAGCTCTGTTTCCTCTCACGTTTTATTTTTTTTCTCGTTTTAACAATGAATTATTATGTGAGGAGCGCATGCAACGTTTTATTATACGAATAAATTAAATTGCCAATTGGCAATTTGTCCAAATACTTGAGGGCACAGTCATGGCCACGTAGGTGGTGAGTTGACTGTGTTGTTCAAATGCTTTATCGATCACAGGAAAAGATTGCGACAAAAATTAAAGAAAATTAGGAATTTGCAACGCAAACGAGTAGTTTTCTCTCTCTCTCTCTCTCTCTCTCTCTCTCTCTCTCTCTCTGTGTGTGTGTGTGTGTGTGTGTGTGTGTGTGTATGTGTGTGTGTAAATATTCTTTTGTAACGAATTTGTTGAGCATCAAAATACTTTGTCTTCCGAGGAGTACATCGTCCCGCGTTAATACCCTGATTTGGCCATGAGTGGATATTTTCAGGAGCGCCGCGAGGCGTCGGGGATTTCCGACATATGCCAAAAGCATCTTCGGCAACGAGAATGACTACGAGAAGCCGAAAAAAGAAGAAAAAGATGAAATAAAATATAAGATGATGAAGATTACATGAATTATATACACTACTATTTATATACATGTAATATATATATATATTTTTTAATTACTTAATATTAAAATACTTTTTTCTAAAAATTAAGTTGCTGAACAATCAATTAGATCCATAAGATTCGTAAAGTTTATTTTATATGCCATATCTCATTTAAAATGAGTATATATTTCTGTATAATCTTCTTTAATTGTATTTTGTAATTTTTAATGTAATATAAATTTTACAACGTTTTCATATAAACTGAAATTAAAAAAATGTGATCTCAACTGTAACACAGTGATGAGATCGCAATGGAAAAAAGTATTGTATTATTTTAAATCCTTCTAAAAAAATCGAATACTGCAATTTTTAAAACCTCCTTACTCTGTATAATATTCAATTAAAGATCTATTTCGAGATTAAAAATAGACAATCTCTTATGAGCTGCGGCAGATGAAGAACTGTTAACTGTAGCAACGGTGATGGCAACCCGCGTCTAGATTAGGAGATATTTACTGCCCGCAGGGATTTCTAAGAGAACGTGAACAAGAGAAAGATGAAGGAAAGAGAAGGGAAGAAAGAAGAATGACGACGATGACTAGGAACGATGCGTCGCGTCGCGACGCGCGAACGGCGTCGCCGCCGTTTTCACCCAAAGGCGTCTCTCAAACCAAGCGATGTCGTGGCCATCCGGGCTTCCTGGTCCGTGTACCACCACTCGCGTGCCATCGGCGTGTTAGGCGTGGGCAGCATCGCTGGCTAGCCCTCGAGGCGTCTCGCGTGCCCATCTTCGGTAGCATCGCGTATCGCGCCACAGACGTTATATCTGGCGTCGCGACGCCCTCGAGCCTCAGCCACTCCTCAGCCGCCCGTCGATTCACAGCTCACCCTCACGGTTAGTAACATATCCGCGAAACGTTCCTTTCTGTGCTTGCTCGACATCTTGAAAATTTACGCGCGATTACAAAAGTTAAGTGTCGACAAGAGATTCTAAAAAGGAAAAAACAGAAACGTGTCAGTGTATAAATCAAAGGGTTCGATTTAAAAATTAATTCTGTAATGCGATCAAAGTTGGGAAAAAAAATGGATTGATTCTAAAGTGAATTAAAGCATTGACTATAACAACGTTGTGTCATTGTATGTAGCACAATAGAAAAATTCTTGCAAAAGACTCTGTATGTTATACTAGAGGAAATGTAATAGTCAATTATTTAAATATTATAGTATTGGTCAATACAAATTGGTTTTTTTTATAAAATAACTAGGATTTGATATCTTAATTATAATAAAAGGATAACATCAATATTTTAATCAATATTTTAATCAAAATAAATATAATTTAGAGTGTATTCCGAAAAATATCAAAAATTAAAACAGTATGAATTAATTGTTTTTAAAAAGTAAAGATTATTATTTTATCGGAAATATTATTATTATTTTTTTAAATTTAATTACTTGATATCTTTGAAAATTCTAAAATAGTTAAAATAGTCAATTTAAATATTGAATCAGCTAGCTTAACCAGATACAATTATATATCTGCTTATAATTTTTTGAAAATATGTTCGAACGAAAATAAATAGAATTACACACAAATTAAGTGGAATTGATAAAAAAAATTTATTATTTCAATTATACTCGGAAAAATCAAGAGAAAACTAGTTTGTAATTCGATATAATCGAATCCTAACTTAATCGAATAAATTTTTTTTACAGAAAAACTAAAGCAGCAGCAAAATGTGTGATGACGAAGTAGCAGCCCTCGTCGTAGATAATGGTTCCGGCATGTGCAAGGCCGGCTTCGCCGGAGACGACGCTCCCCGCGCCGTATTCCCCTCGATCGTTGGTCGACCTCGCCATCAGGGAGTGATGGTCGGTATGGGTCAGAAAGACAGCTACGTGGGTGACGAGGCCCAGAGCAAAAGAGGTATCCTAACACTAAAATACCCGATCGAGCATGGTATCATCACTAACTGGGATGACATGGAGAAGATCTGGCATCATACTTTCTACAACGAATTGCGCGTCGCACCAGAGGAACACCCTGTCCTCCTCACTGAAGCGCCCCTCAACCCAAAAGCTAATCGCGAAAAGATGACGCAGATCATGTTCGAAACCTTCAACAGCCCGGCCATGTACGTCGCCATCCAGGCCGTCCTTTCTCTATACGCTTCCGGTCGTACCACCGGTATCGTCCTAGACTCCGGTGACGGTGTCTCTCACACCGTACCTATCTACGAAGGTTACGCCCTTCCTCATGCCATCCTCCGTCTGGACTTGGCTGGTCGCGATCTTACTGATTATCTCATGAAGATCCTCACCGAGGGAGGCTACAGCTTCACCACCACGGCTGAGCGAGAAATCGTCCGCGATATCAAGGAAAAGCTATGTTATGTCGCTCTGGACTTCGAACAGGAAATGGCCACCGCTGCTGCCAGTACCTCTCTCGAGAAGAGCTACGAGTTGCCCGATGGTCAAGTCATCACCATCGGTAACGAGAGGTTCCGCACACCAGAGGCTCTCTTCCAACCTTCCTTCTTGGGTATGGAATCTTGCGGTATTCACGAAACCGTCTATAATTCCATCATGAAGTGCGACGTCGATATCCGTAAGGATCTCTACGCCAATAATGTCCTCTCTGGTGGTACTACCATGTACCCCGGTATCGCCGATCGTATGCAGAAGGAAATCACCGCTCTCGCGCCCTCGACCATCAAGATCAAGATCATCGCTCCTCCTGAGAGGAAGTACTCCGTATGGATCGGTGGTTCCATTCTGGCTTCTCTGTCCACTTTCCAGCAGATGTGGATTTCCAAACAAGAGTATGACGAATCTGGTCCTGGCATTGTCCATCGCAAATGCTTCTAAACGCATCATTACACGATTGATGCAACAGCGTAATTTTCAAAAAAACACGTTTGCATCTCGGGAAGAACACACAAATAACATGCAATTCTGGCCCGAGCAATCAAGCTGCTATAAGAAAATATCAGAGCATTATCATCGTCTCTCGGTCCTTATCAGATCTCATGGAATCATCGTCACGGTTTCGTTCATCATTTTTGCACAAATAACGGCGACCTGGTTATCATCTTCAACGCCGCAATTTTTTGTAAAACTGCGCTCGGTACCATCATTGCTCACTTAATGTTATCATCATGGCCGAGGTAGTGGTTGGCGAGATTGGCTCTCGTCTCAGGACTTTTCTTACGGTAGCCTTGGATGTTATCAAGCATTGGAAAGGATCTTCGTATATATAAATGTAGATGGATGCTATCAAGTGCATCTTTTGATCCACGAATGAAATCTTCTGGGCAGATATAAGAACAGGCAGAAACCTCGGAATTACGCTTGGCAACGATCTTGAGACTACTACGGGAAAGCTGGGCTTTTTTCACTGTCACGTGAGCGTTTCTCATCAACATTCGAGAAATCGACCCTCTCTTAATACGTACTACATATTGATTACGTCTAGTTTGCTAATCGAAGCAACTAAGTATCTACCAATGTACTTCTATATTTTAATTTATTTTGTAAATATTATACATTATGTTATTATATATTGTTATACGATGTCAAAGTGAATTCAAATACACATTATATCATATAATATCACTATTGTTTTTACTACGTGAACTTTTTTATTACCTCCCGTAAACTTTAGCTTTATTTCTGCAATTCCTCTACATTGTTCTACTTCTCACTAAATAGTACTTGAAACTTCCTCTTCAAGTTTTTACCTGTGAAATATATTACTATATAATAGTACGTAAATTTTTAACTTTTTATTTGAGAGCTTATTGAAAGCAAACATTTGATTGAAAATAAGAAAATGCATGAATAGAAATATATATATAAAGAAGTTCTAAATATATCAAGAGTACGTGAAGTCTTCAATTTTTAAATTAATCCTCCTTATTTTTTTAATGAATTAAACATTAAGAGAAAAGAGAAATTTGCTTATGCATTTCACAACAGTCTCAAATATTATTTAATAATCGCTGTAGTAAATAAATTTGCATTATAACATTATGCTAACGTGTTTTTGCATCTTGTATCCAAATTTGTCTTCAATCGCGGCGAAGTAGTAGCCTGCGTTTTATTTTAAAATAACTATTATCGTTATACATATTATAGTCGCGATGAGTAACCTTGGCCTGATACAAGATACATTTTAAATTCAAAAATTATCAATACATAATTTATTTTTTTTTCTTCTTTTCTTCTTATTTTTTTTCTTTTTCTCGAGAGTCTGGTAGAAGAAGAAGACAAAGTGTTCAACCAAAGGTTATGCTAGCATTTTATTGGCTAGTATTTGAATGACTAGCATTTGATTGGCTGATCATGACGTAAGAAGAATATGCGCAATACGCATTAAGCGCACTGTTACATCTTGTCTTCTTTCACTATAGTAGTGAGTATCTAATAGTATTTTTGCTTCCCCGATAGGACATTATTTATAAAATTATATGACGAAATCTTACTAAATCTATAAAATCTATAAAATTTTTAATGTGTAATTATCAGAGTTTCTACAACTGTTTTTGTAAATATATCCGTGTATACGCGGCGAATATATTTATAAGAACAGATGGAACTCTGTCTTTTTTAAAATTTGATAACTGTTTGTTATATTAATTTCGACATATATGTAGTTTCAGCATAACAATAACAATATGACAATTCTTAAACGACATATTTACCAAATTAAATTTGAAAAGAAATTATTCAATAATTGGGAAAAATTATATTTTAGCTGTATTTAAAAAATATAATTATGTTCATAAAAATGCACATTATTCCTAAATTATAATATAGAAATATTGCAATATGAAGTATTATACATTTATCATGACTAAAAATTTTAGAGTCAAACGAACAGAATTTTGAAATAAATATGAAACTGTCTTTCAAAAGTGTTCGTCAAATATTTAAAAATAATTAATTAATGAGATAATGTGTCCTGATTTCTTTCTTCAATTTATTAATGCTGGTTTCTAATTCATTATATTCTCGAAATATGAAATATTTACACTTCAAGTTGTATTTATTTAATTTTTCACGAATATACCATTTAGAAAGGAGGGTGAGTAAAATAGGCCGATTTTTACTTCCAAAGTAACAAAAGTTACTTGTATTCTCATGTCTTTTGGGTCACTGAACACTTTTATTCATCCGCTGAATGAGTTATTATAGCTGATAGATTAGAAGCATTTTTATTAATATATAAAAAATGCTTAATTGATTTTGAATGACGAGAAATTGATATTATACTTTTTTAAATTGAAATGATCTCGTACTTATATTCGATATATTCCTGATGACCATTTAAATAATGTATTTTATGTCGAAGCCTCTTCAGATTCTGATAATAACGAATGAATTTACGCTATACTATAAATTATGATACAAAGATAGTAATAATAGTGCTCTAGTAGGCGAAAGTCTGTATCTTAAAAAGATCTAACGCATCTCTGATGGGATTCCTGTGGTGGTTTATCGTTTTAACATTCTCAAAACTTTACATGTACATTGTTAAAAATTTCATGAAATTTATTATAATATACTTTTAAATTATACAATTTGAACTTAATTTCACGATATTACATTAAATTTATTGTATTTATAACTGAAAAATATATTTGCGTACATGTACATGTATTTTTCATGAAAATTTATGAACTTTAATGTACACGTTTATTATATTTAAATAACTACTTTAACTTAATTTTCAGTTAAATCATTCATTACTTTTAATTTTGTTCATAACCACTTTATTTATGTGTAAAGGAAGCATTTCTAACAGTGTACATATCTAATGAGACTTAAAATTCTTTAAATAAGAAATTACCTTTTTTAATTATATCATATTGATTTCGCATTGTGAGATTTAAAATTTCTGAAGTGTTCTATTTTTAAGTGTTTTCTTTGGTTTTTAATAAAAAAAGTTATAAAATCGACCTATTTTATCCATCGTCTTTTATTCTGACAAAACTATTATATTATGGCGAATCATCTTAGCGCAATTATTGGAAAGTTTTTGCCAATTCATGTTGTCATTATTTCCGAATTTGCAAGATGCAGAATCATACGAATCTGCTTCTGACTACCAAAAATTATTTTTTCATGTATTTTTTCATTAATTATTGTCTATATAAGTCTTTCGTAGATGTTTTTAAACGTTCTATTGATATTTATTATACAATATATGGTTATTCTACAATATGCTTTTTGTTTCCTATTTCTTGCTTTTGTTATTTTTTACATCTTGTTTTTTTGCTTCGGTTTTTTGTTTTATGTCTGAGATAAAAGTTAACGAACTTCGGAAGAAACAGGAAACACATAGCAAGAAATAATTGTCGATAAAACGGTTGTAAAGAGGGAAGAAGGCAAAAGGCAAAAAGCTTTAGGAACGAAAATGTCCGCGATAAAAGCTGAAGAAATTTATTTCCGTCGCATCGCATAATCTCAAAATATTTCTGTTAACTTAAGCTCCATAGGAACGTGATTCTCACTTCTATCACAGATTTTTTTTTATTTTTTCTCGTTGATATCTGATCTAGATATTTATTTTAATTTTAGGAAATGATAATTCTGCAATGATTGAATCTATTACAGTTTTAAGCAAAAATAATTAGGATCGAGAAATATGTTAATATGAGAATTTATTCATGTCGTGTGATCTACAAAAAGAATTGTGTTTTAAAAAAGAAGATAAAAAAGATTGGCATGTATATTGCGTGCATTGCGTGTATATGCGTGAATTTGACAAAGAATATTTCGTAGAAAATTTTTTTATAAAATAAAGTCTATTAAAATCAATATTTTTACATATAGGATTTTATTCAGAGAAAAAGAAAGTAAGAGAGAAAGAAAAAGAAAAGAAGATGAACAATAAAGGTACTACTTAATGTGAGATTGACTCTCACAAATGGCAGTTAACTTTAACGTATTTAACTGATATTTGTAAAATGACACATGTAGATTGGAAGTCTCGGAAAAATTAACTGGTTTGAATTAATTAATCGAAACGATCGGTATCTCAATGCAAAGTTGGAACGCGTCGCGTGGTATTTCCAAAGTAATGAAGCATATTCCTCGGTCCGCTTAGGGGCTGCGGCCGCCTAGTTCGGCGAGCGTCGCGACGCCTCGCGAGGCGATGCCTTTTTCGTGCCTGTCGAGCAAGCACCATCCCACGAAAATGCGGGGGCGTCCAAACGAGAGCATATAATTGACGTCGCGACGTCGTCGAGGTACAGACGCCGCTCCACCTCTGTCCCGTGCACGGTACGTAGACATAGTATCACGAATTTCCATTCCATTGCTGAGTTCCTCCCTTTCTCTCGGAGAACACAATCGTTTTCTGCTTGCTTTCGCGATCTCATCAAAAGACGTCCGCGTGTTATGGTGATTATAAGCGAATGAAAGTGATAAGCTGCGGAACCATTAGGATTATTCGAGATAACCAGCAATACAGAGTAACAGTTTCACTATTATCTTAACTTACGTTTAATCAAAAGGAGGACATAACTTTTTTTGCGACCATTTCGGGATCGTTTCATTTCTACATTTTTTCATGCATGTATTTTTCTTCAAACCCGAAAATTTCTGAAATCCGAAAATTATCATAATAATGACGCTATACTCAAGAAAAAACTGATACTTTAAAAAAGAGTTAATGAAATTCTTATTCACATCATTACAAACTAATTTAGAGAGTTGGATCGATAACTTTAAATTAATTTTTAAATGATTGAAGTATATACATATATAACAATAGTGATTTCATAATTATATAAGAATATAATGAGTGATGATTTTATTCTTTATTTCAATGTATCAATTTTTCTTGGAGTATAGCATTATTATTATATAATTTTCGGATTCCATGAAGAAAAATATACAAGAAAATGTGAAAATACAACAATTCCATACAACAAATGATTGCGAAAACATGAAAGTACTCTCCTTTTAAAGTTATATTTATTTATTATTAAATTAAATTAAATTAAATTTAATAACAAACAACCTGCAAACAAAAATCTACTTGTTTTTTAATTTATTTGTAATTATAAACTACAAACACAATTTTTTCTTTAGTTAAAATAATATTTAAATTTTAATTAGTAAAATGGATTAAGAGACGTATCATAACGTCAAATATATTTTCAAGTATCAAACATATTTTTCAAATATATTTTCCGTTTTCATATTTACTTGAAAGATTCAGTTTGTTAACAGAAACATTTTTAAATTATTCATATTTTCATATATTTTATTACATGTTCGTTCTTCTTTGTCTTTTATTACTTTTTTACTTTGATTTTTTAATCGATATAAATTATATTTATATATATAAATTAAATTTAAAATTGTTAAAAAAATATTCGTATAATTCCTACATATTTCATTAGTTTTTATTTAATATACTACTTGCCTCAAAAAAGTTCTTCGACCCATTATTGAATCCTCGGAAGAAGTTCAAGTTCTCAGCGATCACTGTATCAGTTGAGATTGCTTCTTGGCGTATCGTCAAGTTGCTCGCATTCATTATAGTCATCATTTTTGTACATCTACGTTTCATAAAAATTATGAGCAGGAAACGAGTATCCTATTTGTAACAAATTAATATTAATCTGCGAATATAGCATTCTAACAATACGCTTAACTTAACGTATTAATTTTAGAAACATTAGTTGTCATATAATATCTGAAGATATAATAATATTCTAAAAGAATGTTAAAAGTTCTTGTTAATTAAATTTTATTAATATTTATAATATTTATATCTACATTTTAATAATATTAAATGATACTTAAAAAATGACTGTTATATAAGCCATAAATTTTGTTAAGATAAATTATTTTAATGTAATTAGCCTTGATAAATTATCCTTGCAAGATTTAATAAATAAAAAAATTGAAATATAAGCAAGATTAGCTAATAAAATATGTGTAAAAAGAAGAATTTTTAATAAATAATAGAAACTTTAAAATTTAGGCTTTCATAACTTAATATAATTCCAAAATATCGGGATAGAAATTCCTGATAATCTATAGAAAAAAAATCGAAATATCATCTAAATTTAAAAAATATAGAAATTATTTTACAAAAATTAAAACATTTTAACATTTCATTTACTTTTGCTAAAAAAATGTTTAATCAGTAAAATTATGAATATATACTATATTACTTCGCGAATCGTTCGATGACCATAAAAGGACTCGTCTTCTGTGGATTGCTCCCTCAACTGTCTTCTCAGTTGGTTCCTAAAATTATACTCATTTCTCTAAGGATCCTCCCTCAACGTCGCTTAACTTTAAACATGGCTCGACCGCCTCTCTTAAGCTCTTTCTAAAATCTAGAATTACAACTGATGAGGTACAAGTTGACATTAGCGTTAAACTAACATTACCAGTGTCGGTCATAAAAGTCGCGAATACATACGAACGTGGAACGAATGACGTCTCTTCGTGATTGGGCTCATAGTTGCATAGTCGAGGTCTTCGGCCGCGCGATCGCGTTTTGGTCCTTTTCTTCAGGCAGGCATAATTTTGGCATGCTCGGCGTTGCCTCGCGGCGGGACGTTATGTTTTATCCGTCGTCATCGTCGACTGCGGCGGCGGTAGTGGTAGCATCGGCCACCATAATCGTCGCTTGAACTTATTAGGGAGCGTCCGTCGGCCGTACATCTAAAGTTAGCGACGCGCCAGGCAAAAATAGCGCCGCGACGTCGGGACCGCTTTGCCTACCGCTTTATAGGCAACTAGGTCAATTCTGGCTTCGCACAACGCTCACCGGGGACTAGCTTTATCGAAATTCGCTCGACTATCATCAAATGTATGAATACTTTTTTACAAATAATTTCTATCGCTTCTTAATTTTGAACTCCAAACTTTAAAATAATCTGAATATTTTATTCGCGTAAAAAATTATGCAAGTTACTCCAGAAAAGTCTTGAAAAGACCTGCAATTAAACTGTAATTAGATCAAGTTATTATTTTTAATGCTTATACTATTTTCTCTTGCTATTAAATAATACAATAATTTAAAACTTTTATTCGCAAAGAATTGAATAACTGTAGCAGAATTATTTAATTGATATTTTATTAATTACACGTGTGTAATTTTATTTTTTGTTCAAGAGAAAATATTACAGGAAAAAAGATGTGATTTTATGAAAAAAACTATTTTTAGTTTTTATCTTAATTTATTTTTCTATCTTATTATTGTTTATGCAATGGAATCATGTGTGATACTAGAATAACATTTTAAGTTATAACAATTATAATTTACTTATAATTTATTGTTAACTTCATAAAATTCTAACTATTATTCTATCGAATGAGAATATGTTAGCGATAAATAATGTAAATATTTACAGAAAATGATAATATAACAATAATTTCTGTTAACAAAACTATATTAATATAATGACAACCAGTATAAATGATTATTGTTCAGAATTGATATACAAAAATTACAAATTACAGAGTAAGAGACGTTACAATTTGTGTTACAGAGTGTTAAAATCAAAGAAAAACAACAATGTGCGACGACGAAGTAGCTGCCCTGGTCGTAGACAATGGCTCCGGCATGTGTAAAGCCGGCTTCGCCGGAGACGACGCTCCTCGCGCCGTCTTCCCCTCAATTGTTGGTCGACCTCGCCATCAGGGAGTGATGGTCGGTATGGGTCAAAAGGACAGCTACGTAGGTGACGAAGCCCAGAGCAAAAGAGGTATTCTGACATTGAAATACCCGATCGAGCACGGTATCATCACCAATTGGGATGACATGGAGAAGATCTGGCATCACACTTTCTACAACGAATTACGTGTCGCTCCAGAGGAACACCCTGTCCTCCTCACTGAAGCGCCCCTCAACCCGAAAGCTAATCGCGAAAAGATGACGCAAATCATGTTCGAAACCTTCAACAGCCCGGCCATGTACGTCGCCATTCAAGCTGTCCTTTCCCTATACGCTTCCGGTCGTACCACCGGTATCGTCCTAGACTCCGGTGACGGTGTCTCTCACACCGTACCTATCTACGAAGGTTACGCCCTCCCTCATGCCATCCTCCGTCTGGACTTGGCTGGTCGCGATCTTACTGATTATCTCATGAAGATCCTCACCGAGAGAGGCTACAGCTTCACCACCACGGCTGAGCGAGAAATCGTCCGCGATATCAAGGAAAAGCTATGTTATGTCGCTCTGGACTTCGAACAGGAAATGGCCACCGCTGCTGCCAGCACCTCTCTCGAAAAGAGCTACGAGTTGCCCGATGGTCAAGTCATCCCCATCGGTAAAGAGAGGGTCCGCACACCAGAGGCTCTCTTCCAACCTTCCTTCTTGGGTATGGAATCTTGCGGTATTCACGAAACCGTCTATAATTCCATCATGAAGTGCGACGTCGATATCCGTAAGGATCTCTACGCCAATAATGTCCTCTCTGGTGGTACTACCATGTACCCCGGTATCGCCGATCGTATGCAGAAGGAAATCACCGCTCTCGCGCCCTCGACCATCAAGATCAAGATCATCGCTCCTCCTGAGAGGAAGTACTCCGTATGGATCGGTGGTTCCATTTTGGCTTCTCTGTCCACCTTCCAACAGATGTGGATTTCCAAACAGGAGTACGACGAATCTGGCCCTGGCATCGTCCACCGCAAGTGCTTCTAAGCAATTACGCTCGATGCTATTCACTATTATTATTGTTATTATTGCTACCTTTCCCTAAGTTGTACCGTTCACTGCCGCATCGCTTCGTCTAGTTGGGTCTCCGTTAGTCAAATATTCTGTTGTCGTAATTGGTCCGTGGCGGCAAGTCTTTTATCAACAACTATTATACGAGCATATACGTCATCTTTTGTATATAAGTTTACGTCTATGGAATAAATCAATCTTATATTCTCTCTTACAATCGAGCAATTCGTAATTTTCATTCTTCAACCCTCATATTTGCACAAATACTGATTAGCAATATTTAACTGAATTAATACGCGCGCGTGCGTGTGTATGTGTAAAGAGGATATATTTTACTTTTTATTTATATAAACCAATTTATATAAACCTTTGGCTTATTACTTAAATAAATTAATCATTTAATTAATTTAATAACAAAAATAATCTATTACTTTCTTAATCTAAATGAATCTTTTTTAATTCTTTCTTTAAATTTCTATTTACTGTCGATAAAATTGAGATGTATAAAACTATTTTAAACGTGAAAGTACACACTTATATGCTTTGTAAATCATAAATATATAATTGATGGCTAGGATTCCACGAAAGAAATAAAGTCATTAAAAACATTCTTTTTCATAAAAATCTGCTTATTAAAGTTTTAAAATGTCATTGCATAACGATATAAAATTATACTAACAATAAGCATGAAAATAGGATTTATAGGATTTGAAATTTGTGCATAATTAATATGCATGTAATGCACGTTGTTGTATATATTGCATGATCAAAATAAAAAATATATTTATTATAATTATTATTGGATTGTAGATAAAAATTAAAGTAAAAGTAGCATTAGCGCCCTCGCAGATATGAGTTTAGTGGTGCAAAGATGGATGCGCGGGACTTTTGTTTTTATGTTCGTATACGTATATAATGCAACGGCTCAAAATAAAGACGTGTATCATATACCTCGTAACTTGTTTTCTCGTCGGTCTCTTCACAAAAGTAGTATAATTATCAATATTACTTTTTATTAATATGTTAGAAATTTGATTTAAAATTAAAATCACAATTATAATGCAACTATAAGTTTCTCCAAAGGAGGGACAATTTTTTTCGCAACCCGGGGATCGTTTTATTTCTACATTTTCTTATGTATTCTTCTTTAATGGAAACTGAAAATTATCATAATAATAACGCTACACTCTAGGAAAAATTAGTGCAGAAAAAAATTAATAAAATCCTTATTTACATTGTAAGAAATCGTCAATTATGCTTCGATTAAAAATTAATTCAGAGAGTTGAATCAATAACTCTACATAATTTTTAAATGATTGAATCATAACTGCCAACTATTTCGTAACGATATGAATAAAGATTTTATTTTAACCAATTTTTATATCAATTTTTTTTTAGTGTTGCGTCATTATTGCGATAACTTTCAGTATCCAAAAAAATAGATAAAATAATATAGAAATAAAATAATTCCCAAAATTGATCGTATAAAAGTGAAAATTGTATTCTTCTTTATCACTCAGATTATTTTTAATTTTGTAGCAAACGTCATCCGTATTATGTACGACAATATTATGAAAAGTAAACCTTAATCAAGATTACATAAAATACATTCGAAGATATTTCAAATCTGGCTGCTTCCAACCCAGTGAGAATGACAATGAAATCGATGTCGATTCGACATCGATGTTGATTTGATGATTTCGACGTCGAATCGCCATCGATTCCATTATCATATCTCACTGAGAATGCTTAAAATCCAAGATACAATTTTGCGATATCATTTCTTCAATAGAAACAATATAACATAATATTTTATTATATAATATGGTTAGAAATACAACTAGAGAAAAGTAATTGCATTGTGTTTAAGTTAATTGTATTACATATTCTCATACGAGGAATAAAAAATAATTCTTGTGAATGCTTTAATTGTTGCTAAATTATTCTATAATTACAGTAGTTATAAATTCTTTCGTGTCTTTAGATCTCAATAAATTAATGACGGATATGTAGTCAAATTTTACTGATAAATGTAAAAGGATTCTAAATTTTTCTTAATAGATGCGATCATAATCTTTCTAATTAAATCCTCCCAAGAGATTTTACTTTTTAATTTTTCCTTTTTTGAGGTAAAAAAAAAACAGAATTCACCTTCAGTGTTTTCCCTGGTGAAGATCAGCCTTTTCACTCATGCTGAAGTCCTGATGACGAACGTAACGATGACGAGTGAGAGGTGTTCAACAATAAAAGATGCGCCCTTACGGGGTTGAAACTCGACAATGCGAAACAACATCAGCATCGGCTTAGCCGACGATGAAAGGTAGAAGAGGGGATCTTTACGATGGCTCAAGCAAGGGAGTTGCCCCGTGCACCTGCCAATTATAACAAATTTGCAGTTTTGTCCATTAGCTGTACTAGTATTCTTTCCTACTAATATATTTGAATATCATATTATGTCAACGGATTCTGGGAACGCTGCCAATATTAATAACACGCGCCAAGAATTGGTGAGTTATTATTCTTGGCAGCGCAATCTTGATCATTTAATAAATAATATCTGTTCTATATGAAAGAATGACAACTAAAGAAAGTATTTATTTTTCAGGTAATTAATACGCTAATTAAACCTGTTACTCCATTCTAAAGAAAAAGATTTGTCTTTTGCATTGTAAAATCACAATTTTGTTTGAAAAAATATAGCACAAGATGTCGCTTCAAAATTCTTAACTCATCATAGCGAACTAATTATCTTGCAAAGTTTACTTTTTCGAAATCAAAATATTTTAAGAATCTCGATTCTTCCATATTAAAAGTTCAATATTTTGAAGTTTATTCTTTCAAGATTAAATATTTTTAGTTCATATTTTTCGAGACTTGATCTTCAGTAGAGTTAGTTCTTTAAAATTTGCTTTTCTTGAACATAGATTTTTTTTTTGTTTTGCTTGAATCTCTATTTCTTTAATTAAGCTTTACTACATCCTGTTTTATAAGATTTTATTCGAATCTCGCTTATTTTTCGACCCTTCCACATCTTATTCCTCGTTTTTCTTTAAAGCTTCATTTCTTCACCGAGGCCCACGATAACAATGGACGGCCCTGTCGCGTAACGAGTCCTTATTTGGATCCAGGGGCCGTCGGTCACCACCGCGTCGACGTCGTCACCACCGCCGTAGCAAGATGCTTCGGCGTCTTTTCTCTCTTTCTCACTCTTCTCTCTCTCCACCGTTGCTCCTCTCTTTAGGGCGAACTAAGGACTAGCTTGACTAGAATGGGCGGCGCGGGCTCTCAGCCCGACATTAACGCGAACAGCCGATTTCCATGTAAGGGGCGGATTGCTATTTTCGGCCGCTGACCGATATGGATAAAGGGACCCCACGGAGCCGGTACCACGCCACTTGCCGCTCTCGCCAGCCTCTTGCACGACGTTATACGCGACCCTAAACGATCGGCAAACGGTAAATCGTCATACCTCATTATTCCTAAAAAATCGCGAACCACATCGATCTACTTGGTATCACGCGCATTGAAAATCCCGATTTCTGAAAATCTCTTCTAAGTTTTTTCTTTTAAGTTTCGCTAAAATCGCGAGGATCTTTAGTATCAGTTGATAAGTTCTGTAGTGATTCGAATAAATGGTACTGAGTTAAAACTGAGTTAGAGCTTTAGCTCAAAGCTTTCGAGTGTCAGGATGGTTGATGGGAAGCATCGATGAGACCGATAATTTCCGAAAATTCTCAAGGAGAACTTTGAAAATTGAGTGAGGTTTGCGTAACCGTATATGACGTAAAGTGATATCTAGTGATTGTGCATAAATGGATGTGAACGCGATAATAGTTATAAAGCTAAAAAAAATCTACTATCATCTTGAGCTCTCATAACCAAAATTCTGAAATTCATTCATTAAAAAATATAAATATTTTTTAAATTTATTTTGAATATTTGCAAATATTAATTATAATGTAGAATGACTGTATAACTTTTCTTTTTATGGTATAATTATTAAAATATACAAATTGTAATTGAGTTAATAATTAATTAGTTGATTCATCGTGAATTTAAACTTATCCTTCAAAATTCTTCTGCATTTTGCGGTGTGTATTCGCAGAAAGTAACAGTAACGGCCAACCAAGATGTGTGACGATGATGTTGCGGCACTAGTCGTGGACAATGGATCCGGTATGTGCAAGGCTGGATTCGCAGGGGATGATGCACCGCGTGCTGTGTTTCCTAGCATCGTCGGCCGCCCTCGTCATCAGGTTGGTTAAAACATTGAATTCTCATTTAAAGAAATCAATCATCAATGTAATCTAAATATTATGAACAACATAATAATATTTATATCATATCTTATATTATCTTTTATATCATTATATGTATGTATCGTATATTATCCTAGTATTTTTATGTTACAATTTTTAAAAGATAGATAGTGTATACACACACACACACACACACACACACACACACAATATCTTTCGACTCAAACTAAGAAACACTCCTAACTAGATTATTCTCCATTTGTTTACAGGGTGTGATGGTCGGTATGGGTCAAAAGGACAGCTATGTTGGCGACGAGGCGCAAAGTAAGAGAGGTATATTGACATTAAAGTATCCTATAGAACATGGTATTATTACTAATTGGGACGACATGGAGAAGATTTGGCATCACACCTTCTACAATGAATTGCGTGTTGCACCGGAGGAACACCCTGTTCTTCTCACTGAAGCACCTTTAAATCCAAAAGCTAATCGTGAGAAGATGACGCAAATTATGTTTGAAACCTTCAATAGCCCAGCCATGTATGTGGCCATCCAGGCCGTTCTTTCC